AAGACGGATCTCTTCCGGCAGGCCTTTCCAGATTAATTACTCCCACCTTGGGTACAAATAGCCCATCCCAGTGATCCTTGCGTGGCCCCATCTAAGGGTGGTTAGGATCATTGTTGCTAGGTTTATATATTGGGATATATTGGTTTGTATTGGGTTTTTAAATTGAATTGCTGTTTTAAATTACTATTGATTTAATACTGTCTTAAGGGGGGAGGGGGGTCGTTGTATTGTATATGTTTTTATTGTTATTGTATATTGTATATGTTTTTATGCTTGTAAGCCGCCCTGATTGGATTTCCATAGGGTGGGATATAAATATTATTATTATTATTATTATTATTATTATTATTATTATTTTCCTGTAGTTTACATCCATTGCTCCAGGTCCTATTCTCTGGAGCAGCAGAAAACAAGCTTGCTCCATCTTCAATATGAGATCCCTTCAAATATTTAAACAGGGCTACCACAAATTTCTCTTCTCCAGGCTAAACATACTCAGCTCCCTCCCAGGAGTAGTTCCCAAACTTTAGTCTTCCAGGTTTTTGGACTTCAACTCCCAGAGGCCCCAGCTAGCTTGACCAACTGTCAGGAATTCTGGGAGCTGAAGTCCAAAGCATCTGGTGGAGCAGTTTGGGAATCACTGTAGGGCATGGTTTTCAGAAAAGGCGTAGTGGTCTGAACATTGGAGTGGGTGACATTGGGCAAATCTCTGAGCCTCAGAAGATGGCCATGGCAAACCTCCTCTGAAGAAACTTGCCACCAAGAAAACCCAGTGATAGCTTTGACTTAGAGCAGTGATGGTGAACCTTTTAGAGACCGAGTGCCCAAACTGCAACTTAAAACCCACTTATTTATTGCTAAGTGCCGCATCCCTCTGGCATTCTAGAAACAACCTCTGGTGAACTCTGTGCTCAAGTGATAGTGTATGTGCCCACAGAGAGGGCTCTGAGTGCCCCCTCTGGTATGCATGCCATAGGTTTGCCACCACTGCCTCAGGGTCTCCATATGTCAGGAAATACTTGAAGAATAACACACACTCTAGAGAAGGAGTTCCAGGGCCTGGGAGCACCCACCGAGAAGGCCCTCTCCCTTATTTCCACAAAATGAACCTTAGAGGGTGATTTTATAGATTTTATATAAGGGGCACCATTTCTATGCCATTGTATTTAACAGAACTTGGGCATCCACTGGTTATAGTATCTATGGAACTAAACCCCAGTGGAAACTAAGGGCACAATGTACTTCATTGGGAGGGATATAGGAAAGAATAAATAAAAGGGTAAAGGTAAAGGTATTCCCCATTGACAAGGAGCCTTTGCAGACTGCTAGAAATAGTGCAAATTGAGTCCATTTTAAGGGTTAGGGTTAGGGAATCATGGGAACTGTATTTTATTGTGGCACCAGAGCTCTCTGTCAGAGAAGGCTCAATGTCTCAGGAAAAAAAAAATTCCCATGATCCCCTAGCACTAACCCTAACCTTTAAAGTGAACTCAATTTGCACTATTTCTGGCAGTCTGCAAAGGCCCAAGGTTGTCAAGTTCTCAGACTGTAAGGGGCAGCATTGTCAGAGACTACTCTGTGATCCTGTGGCCAGTATGATTGCACAGAACACTGTTTACCTTCCCATCAAAGTGGTACCTATTTATTTTCTTATATTTGCATGCTTTTGAACTGCTGGATTAGCAGAAGCTGGGACTAATGATGGGAGCTCATATGTACTAATTTACTGTATATTACCATTTATTAATTATTTTAAATGACTGACAGGATGGCAGCCGGAGGTCCAATTGCCTAAGCTTTCCTCATTGCTACACAGGATGCCAGACTTGTAAGTTTATCACATGGGGAAATCCAGTGCGGAAACGGGGCTTTAAATTAGAAAAAAAACCCACACAAAAGCGGTCATGATTTCACATGACATCGCTGTTAAATTGATGTTAAAAGGAGGTTAATCCAAACGAAAACCCTTCATTTTTACTTTTGGGTTTTTCCGAAAGTAAAAAGAAGTGTAAATGATGGGTTTTCATTTGGATTAACCTCCTTTTAACAGCACTTTCACATTTCACACAGGGCAGAACGGGAGAAATCCCATTCATTAAAAGCTTCCGCTTTTGCGGCTTTTTTTCACTTTAAAGAGCAATTTTGCACGGGGCTCCCCGTGTGATAAACTCCTTGGAAAGGTTTCCAGACCTTTCCCCATTTTGGTTGCCCTCCTCTGGACACCATAGGGCCTTTGCAGACTGCCAGAAATAGTGCAAATTGAGTCCA